AAGTACTGAATTGCATGGCCTCTAAAGGCTCATTTAAAAGTGACCCATACAATAAGGGGATTTGCTGTACCTATGTTATGTCGGAAAAACTAAGTTATACATTCCTCTGTCCTAGTTCAAAACAAGTTATCATCCAATAGGCTTTGATAACATTTCCAATATCCTCGCACACGTGGAAATTCAGTAAGAGTAATGTATATGCCAATTATATGATGGTCTGACCGCAGGAGGCAGGGCTTTCAAGGGATGGAAGGAGGGCGGGGGCTTTTAAAGGGGGTGGATGGAGGAAATCAGGGTTTAAGGAGATGGGGCTGGAGGGGGAGGGGGTTTTAAGGAGAGGGGGGAGGACAGGGCCCTTTTAAAGGGGATGGATGGGGGGGGGAGGGCCTTTTTAAGGGGGGTGGTGGGGGAGGGCAGGGCCTTTTTAAAGGGGATGGACGGAGGAGGGAGGGCTTTAAGGGGATGGACTGGAGGAGGTCAGGGCTTTTTTAAAGGGGATGGATGGGGGAGGGGGGCTTTTAAAGGGGAGGAAAGGGGACAGGGGTTTTAAGGGGGATGGACTGGGGAGGGGGGGTTTTTTTAAGGGAGATGGACGGGAGGAGGGGGGGGCTTTAAAGGATGGGGGAAAAGGGGCTTTAGGGAGACTGGAGGGAAGGGTTTAGGGATTGGGAGGGAGGGCTTTAAGGGGATAAAAAGGGTTTTTAAAAAAAGGGGGGGAACGGGTTTAAAATTTATGACTGGGGAGGGGGGGTTTTAAAGGGAAAAGGGTGGGGAGGGAGGGCTTTAAGTTTTATTTGGGAACGGGTTTAAAAAAGGGACTGGGGGGGGGCTTTAAGGGGAGGCTGGAGGGAGGGCTTAAGGGTGGACTGGGGGGGGGTTTTAAAGGGGACTGGGGGAGGTTTTTTAAAAGGACTGGGGGGGGGGAAAAGGATGGAAAAGGGGGTTTTAAAGGGAAAGGCTGGGGGGGGGCCTTTAGGGATGGACTGGGGGGGGAAGGGTTTAAGAGAGGCTGGGGGGGGGTTTAAGGAGGGGTTTGGGAGGAGGGGGGGTTTAAAGGAGGGGGAAGGGAAGGGTTTAAAGGAATGGCTGGAGGGGCTTTAAGGGAATGGACGAGAACAGGTTTAAGGGGAGGGACGGGGGAGGGGGTTTAAAGGGAAATGGCGGGAGGAGGGAGGCTTAGGAGGGGACGGGGGACAGGGTTAAGGAAACTGGGGGGGGGGGTTTTAAGGAGAGGGCTGGAGGAAGGGTTTTAGGAGAAGGGAGGGGGGGGGCCTTAAGAGTTTGGACGGGAGGGGGGGTTTTAAGGGGAAGGGCTGGAGGAAAGGGGTTTGGAGAGGGACTGGGGGAGGGGGTTTAAGGAATGGACTGGAGGGGGGTTTTAAGGGAGATGGACTGGAGAGGGGGTTTTAAGGGATGGACTGGAGGGGGGGGGAAAATTGGGGGGGATTTAAGATGGGGGGAAAATTTTGGGGAATGGACTGGAGGGGGGAGGGTTTTTGGAAAATGGGGGAGGGTTTAAGGGATGGACTGGGGAGGGGGCCAAGGGATGGACTGGGGGGGGGGGGTTTAAAAAAGGGGACTGGAGGAGGAGGGCTTTAAGGAAGGGACTGGAGGAGACGGTTTTAAAGGAGGGGGGACTGGGGGGGGAGGCTTTAAAGGGGGAGGGGAGGGGGGCTTTAGGAAGGAGGGGCCCGGGCTTTGGAAGGTGGGGAGGGGGTTTAAGGGATGGACTGGAGGAGGGGGGGTTTGGGGATGGGGGAGGGGGTTTAAGGAATGGACTGAGGAGGGGTTTGGGGGGAAAAGGTGGAGAGAGGGTTTTAAAAAGGGGGAGGAAGGGGGGCAAAATAGGATGGGGAGGGGGCTTTAAGGAGGGGGGGGGGGGGGCTTTAAAAGGATGGGGGAGGGGGGGGGGGGTTTTAAGAGATGGGGGAGGGGGGAGGGCTTTAAGGGATGGATTTGGGGAAAGGGGGGGTTTTAAAAGGAGTTTGGACTGGAGGAGGGGGTTTTTAAAAGGGAAAGGAGGGGGGAAAAGGGTTTAAGGGATGGACTGGGGGAAAAGGGGGGTTTTGGAGACTGGGGAGGGAGGGCTTTAAAAAAGGGACTGGAGGAACAGGGCTTTAAGGGGACTGGGGAGGGGGGGCTTTGGGGAAAATTTGGAGGGGGGAAAGGGTTTTAAGGGGAGGACGGGAGGAAGGGCTTTGGGGAATGGCTGGAGGGGGGAGGGTTTAAGGAGGACTGGAGGAGGGGGGTTTAAGGGTACGGGAAGGGAGGGCTTTGGGGGAAAGGGAAGGGCTTTAAAAATGGCGGGAGGGGGGGGGCTTTAAGGGAGATGGCTGGGGGGAAAGGGTTTAAAGGGGGGAGGACTGGAGGGGGGGTTTAAAGGGGTTTACTGAGGAACAGGTTTTAAAGGGGAGGACTGGAGGAGGGGGGGTTTTAAAAAGGAGGGGGAGGGGAAGGGGGGGGTTTTAAGGGGGGATGAGGGCGGGTTTAAGGAGGGGACTGGGAAAAGGGCTTTAAGGGGATGGAGGGGGGGTTGGGTTTGGGGGGAAGAGGGAAGGGGGGGTTTAAGGGGAAAAGGTAAAAAAGGGTTTGAGGGGGGGGGGGGGGGGAAAAGGGGCTTTAAGGAGATGGACTGGAGGGACAGGGTTTTAGGGGGGGGGAAAAAGGGACGGGTTTGGGAGGGACTAAGGAGACAGGGTTTAAAGATGGACTGGGGAGACGGCTTAAAAGGGGAGGGAGGAAAAGGGAAGAAAAGGGGGGAAGGTGGGGGGGAAAACCGGGGGGAAATGGCTGGAGGAGGGGGGGCTTTAAAAGGGGGGGGGGTTTTTTAAGGGGAACGGGGAAAGGGGGGGAAGGGGAAAAAGGGGTTTTAAAGTTGACTGGGAAAGGGTTTTTAAAAAGGGGAAGAAAATTTAAAGGGGGGGGAAGGGTTTAAAAAGGGGGGAAAAAGGGGGGGTTTTAAAGAGATGCTGGAGGAACGGGATTTAAGGGATGGCTGGGGAAAGGGGTTTTAAGGAGTGGATGGGGGGAGGGTTTTTAAGGGGAGGGTTTTAAGGGGGGGAGGGTTAAGGGTTGGGATGGAGGAGGGGGGGCTTTAAGAGGGGGACTGGGGGAAAAGGGGTTTTTAAAAAGGGACGGGGGGGGAAAGGGTTTAAAAAAAATTAAAGTTTTAAAGGGGGATAAAAAAAAAGGGGGAGGAAAGGGGCCAAGGGGCGGGGGGGAAAAAAAGGGGGGGGGGGGGGGGGTGGAGAAATTTAAAATTTTTTAAATTTTTAAATTTAAATTTTTTTAAGAAGGGTAAAAATTTTTTAAATAAAAATTTTTAAAAATGACTGGAATATTTAAAAGGGGGGAGGTTTAAAAGTGGGAGGGGGTTTAAAGGGAATTTAGGGGAAAGGGTTTTTAAGGGATGACTAAAAATTTTAAGGGGTGGGGGGGGAACAGGATTTAAGGAGATGGGGAAAAGGGGCTTTAAGGGGTGGACTAAGGGGGGTTTTAAGAATTTTCTGGGGGAGGGGGTTTTTAAAAATGGCTGGGGAGGGGGCTTTAAGGGGATGGAGGGGTTTGGGGCTTTAAGGAAGGGAAGGGAGGGGGGTTTTTAAGGGGGAATGGACTGGAGGAAGGCTTTGGGGGGGGAGGAGGAAAGGTTTTAAAGGGAGATGGACTGGAGAACCCCGGGTTTAAGGGGTGGCTTGGGAGACACTTTAAGGGATGAGGGGAGGGGGGGGGAAAAAGAGGGGGGGTTTGGGAAAGGGACTGGAGGAGAAGGGTTTAGAGAGGACGGGAGGGGAGGTTTTAAGGATTTGGATGGGGGAGGGGGGTTTAAGGGAATGGACGGAGGAAGGGGTTTAAAGGAATGGCTGGAGGAAGGGGTTTTAAGGAGATGACGAGGGGGGGTTTTAGGAGGGGACTGGGGAAAGGGCTTTAAGGGATGGACTGAGGGGGGCTTTAAGGGATGGCTAAGGAACAGGTTTTTAAGAAGGGGACTAGGAGAAAGGTTTTAAGGAAGGATGGGGAGAAAATTTTGGGGAAAAAAGGAGGGTTTTAAGGAGTTGGACTGGAGGAGGGAGGGCTTTAAAAGGGAGGACTGGGGAGGGGGTTTAAGGAATGGACTGGGGGAAAGGGTTTAAGGAGATGGAGGGGGGGGGCTTTAAAAATGGCTGAAAAGAAGGTTTAAGGATGACTGGGGGAGACAGGGTTTAAGGGGAGGGACGGGAAAGGGACAGGGTTTAAAAATGGGGAAGGGATTTAAGGAGATGGACGGGAGAGAAAAAAATTGAGGGAGGGGGAGGGTTTTTGGAGTTGGCTGGAGGAGGGGGTTTAAAAGGAGTGGACTAGGGAGGGTTTAAGGGAAATGGATGGAAAAAGGGGGTTTAAGGAGATAGGGAGGGGGGAGGGCAAATGGGGGGGGGGGGGGAAGGAAAGGGGGAACCGGGTTTTAAGGAGATGGACTAGAGGAGACAGGGTTTTAAGAGATGGATTTAGGGACGGGGTTTAAAGGGGGTGGAGGGAGGAGACGGGGTTTAAGGGATGGACGGGGAGAAAGGGTTTAAGGGGATGGACTGGGGGGGGAAAGGTTTTAAAGGGATGGACTGGAGAGGGGGGGTTTTAAGGAGGGGGAAAAAAGGGAAGGGAAGGGGGGTTTTTTAAAAAAGGAGATGCTGGAGGGGAGGGCTTTAAGGAGGGTGGGAGACAGGGCTTTAGGGGGGGCGGAAGAAGGGCTTTAAGGAATGGACTGGATTAAAAGGGTTTAAGGGGATGGTTTAAAAGGAGACCGGTTTTTGGGAGGGACTGGGGGAAGGGGTTTGGGGGGAACGGGAAAGGGGGGGGGTTTAAAAAAGGGACTGGAGGGAAAGGGTTTAGGGATGGACGAAGGGGGGGGCTTTAGATTGGACTGGAAGGGGGGTTTTTGGGGTGGACTGAGGGGGGAAAAGGAAATGGAGGGGGAAAAAGGAAATTGGGGGGGGGGGGAAGGAATGGGGGGGGGGGGTTTTAAAGGAATGGCTAAGGGGCAGGGCTTTAAGGAATGGACAAAAGGTTTTTTTTAAAAGGAGGAAGGAGAAATTTTTTGGGGGTGGACTGGGGAGACGGGTTTAAGGGGGTGGAGGGCCAAAAAGGGGTGGACCTGGGGGGGGGAGGTTTTTAAGGAAATTTGGACGGAGGAGGGGGGGCTTTAAGGAGATCGGGGGGGGGTTTTAAGGGGATGCTGGAGAGACAGGGTTTTAAAAGGGGGAAAAGGGGGGGAGGGTTTAAAAATTTTGGGGGGAAAAGGTTTTAAGGGGGGGGACTGGAGGAGACGAGTTTTTAAGGAGTGGACGGGAGTAACGGGTTTTAAAGGGGTGGACTTGAGGAGACCTTTTTTAAGGGGTGGACTGGAGGAAAGGGGTTTTAAAAAAAAAAGGGGGGGGGAGGAAAAAGGGGGGGGGAAAGGGCTTTAAAAAGGGAGGACTGGGGGAGACAGGCTTTGGGGAAATAAAGGGAGGAGGGGGGGGGAAAGGGGTGGGGAAAAAAGGGTGAAAAGGAGATGGACTGAGGGGGGCTTTAAGGGAGGGAGGGGGGGGTTTGGAAGGAGGGGGGGGGGTTTAAGGAGATACTGGAGGGGGGAGGTTTTAAAAAAAGGGGAGGGGGGGGTTTAAGGGAGAGGGAGGGACAGGGCTTTAAGGAATATGGAGGGAAAGGCTTTAAGGAATGGGGAGGAGGGGGTTTAAGAGATGGATTTAAAAAAAAAGGGGTTTAAGGGGATGGGGAGAAAGGGTTTAAGGAATGGACGGGGGGAAAAATTTGGAGGGATGGAAGGGGGGGGGGCGGGAGAAAGGGTTTAAGGGGGGGGAAAAGAGGAGGTTTTAAGGAGGGGAGGGGGGGGGGAGGCTTAAGGGAGATGGGGAGAACAGGGTTTAAGATGGCTGGAGGAAAAATTAGGAGGCTGGGGAGACGGGTTTAAGGGAAAGGAGGGGGGGGGGGTTTAAGGTGGGAGGAGGGAGGGCTTTAAGGAGATGGACTGGAGGAGGGAGGGCTTTTAAGGAGATGGACTGGAGGAGGGGGCTTTAAGGAGATGGACTGGAGGAGACAGGGCTTTAAAAGGGGCCTAAGGACACCTCCCGGGGCCCCCAATCCCCCCTAAAAATGGTCCCCAATCTCACCTACGGGGTGGTCCCCAAAAACCTCGCAATGTCCCCCCCCCCAGGGTGGTCCTCCAATCTATCCAGGTGGTCCTCCGACTATCTACAGCAGGGTCCTCCAATCTACCCTACAGCTGGTCCCCAATCTTCCACAGTGGCCCTCCAATCTACTACACAGTGGCCCCCCAAAAACTACCCGCGGGGTCCCCAATCTAACCTAAGCATGGCCCTCCAATCTACCACACATGGTCCTCCAATCTTCTCACAGGGGTCCCCCAAAATCTAACCTAGCAGTGCCTCCAATTTTCCAAAAGGTGGTCCCCAATCAAACCACACTGCCCCAATCTATCCCAGGCCCCCCATTTCCTCCAGATCTAACCTACAGAGTGGGTCCTCCAGCATCTCATCTACAGCAGTGGTCCTCCAGATCTCACCTACAGCAGTGGGTCCTCCGATTCTACCTACAGCAGTGGGTCCTCCAGATCTATCCTACAGCAGTGGTCCTACCAGATCTCAATCTTTCAGCAGTGGTCCTCCAGATCTCATCCTACCAAGCAGTTGGTCCTCCAGATCTATCCTACAGCAGTGGTCCTCCAGATCTATCCTACAGCAGTGGTCCTCTCAGATATATCCTACAGCAGTGGTCCCCCAGATCTATCCCTACAGCAGTGGGTCCTCCAGATCGATCCTACAGCAGTGGTCCTCCAGATCTATCCTACAGCAGTGGTCCTCTCCAGATCTATCCTACAGCAGATGGTTCCTCCAGATCTAATCCTACACGCAGTGGTCCTCCAGATCTATCCTACAGCAGTGGTCCTCCAGATCTATCCTACAGCAGTGGTCCTCCAGATCTATCCTACAGCAGTGGTCCTCCAGATCTATCCTACAGCAGTGGTCCTCCAGATCTATCCTACAGCAGTGGTACTCCAGATCTCACCTACAGCAGTGGTCCTCCAGATCTCACCTACAGCAGTGGTCCTCCAGATCTCACCTACAGCAGTGGTCCTCCAGATCTATCCTACAGCAGTGGTCCTCCAGATCTAATCTACAGCAGTGGTCCTCCAGATCTATCCTACAGCAGTGGTCCTCCAGATCTAATCTACAGCAGTGGTCCTCCAGATCTATCCTACAGCAGTGGTCCTCCAGATCTATCCTACAGCAGTGGTCCTCCAGATCTATCCTACAGCAGTGGTCCTCCAGATCTATCCTACAGCAGTGGTCCTCCAGATCTCATCTACAGTACAGCAGAGACAGACACACTATGATGCAACATGTAAATGACAGAACCTCTCTTTCTCTCCTCTCTCTCTGGTTCTCTATCCACAGTTAATACTGACACAGAAACAGTGGTGGTGAATGTCACATACACAACCAAGGAGGAGGCTAAAGTGTAAGTAGAGTAATTACTGTGTTTAAATGATGTCACTATCAGTATGGCAGAAACATTAGACTAATTAGAGGTGCTATTACTGTGTTTAAATGATGTCACTATCAGTATGGCAGAAACATTAGACTAATTATCCCCTCATAGGGTTAGGGTTAGGGTTAGAAACATTAGACTAATTATCCCCTCATAGGGTTAGGGTTAGGGTTAGGGTTAGAAACATTAGACTAATTATCCCCTCATAGGGTTAGGGTTAGGGTTAGGGTTAGAAACATTAGACTAATTATCCCCTCATAGGGTTAGGGTTAGGGTTAGGGTTAGGAGCATTAGACTAATTATCCCCTCATAGAGTTAGGGTTAGGGTTAGGGTTAGAAACATTAGACTAATTATCCCCTCATAGGGTTAGGGTTAGGGTTAGGGTTAGAAACATTAGACTAATTATCCCCTCATAGAGTTAGGGTTAGGGTTAGGGTTAGAAACATTAGACTAATTATCCCCTCATAGGGTTAGGGTTAGGGTTAGAAACATTAGACTAATTATCCCCTCATAGGGTTAGGGTTAGGTGTATGGCAGAAGGTTAGGGTTAGGGTTAGGGTTAGGGTTAGGGTTAGGAGCATTAGACTAATTATCCCCTCATAGAGTTAGGGTTAGGGTTAGGGTTAGAAACATTAGACTAATTATCCCCTCATAGGGTTAGGGTTAGGGTTAGAAACATTAGACTAATTATCCCCTCATAGGGTTAGGGTTAGGGTTAGGGTTAGAAACATTAGACTAATTATCCCCTCATAGGGTTAGGGTTAGGGTTAGGGTTAGAAACATTAGACTAATTATCCCCTCATAGGGTTAGGGTTAGGGTTAGGGTTAGAAACATTAGACTAATTATCCCCTCATAGGGTTAGGGTTAGGGTTAGAAACATTAGACTAATTATCCCCTCATAGGGTTAGGGTTAGGTGTATGGCAGAAGGTTAGGGTTAGGGTTAGGGTTAGGGTTAGGGTTAGGAGCATTAGACTAATTATCCCCTCATAGAGTTAGGGTTAGGTGTATGGCAGAAGGTTAGGGTTTAGGGTTAGGAGCATTAGACTAATTATCCCCTCATAGGGTTAGGTTAGGGTTAGGGTTAGGGTTAGGGTTAGGGTTAGGGTTGGGGGTTGGGGGTTAGGGTTGGGGGTTAGGGTTAGGGTTGGGGGTTGGGGGTTAGGGTTAGGGTTGGGGGTTGGGGGTTAGGGTTGGGGGTTGGGGGTTGGGGGTTAGGGTTAGGGTTAGGGTTAGGGTTAGAAAGGTATCAGAGAGGTAAAGCTTTTTTCCCTCCTCAGAGCTATAGAGAATTCAACGGTCATCAGTTTGAGGACTACTCCTTCAGGGTGTCGCCTAACCCTTACCCTCTCCCTCTCGTTAACTCTAACTCCTCTCCCCTCAGAGCCGTAGAGAAGTTGACTCTTCTGTTCTCTCACAGAGCCGTAGAGAAGTTGACTCTTCTGTTCTCTCACAGAGCCGTAGAGAAGTTGACTCTTCTGTTCTCTCACAGAGCCGTAGAGAAGTTGACTCTTCTGTTCTCTCACAGAGCCGTAGAGAAGTTGACTCTTCTGTTCTCTCACAGAGCCGTAGAGAAGTTGACTCTTCTGTTCTCTCACAGAGCCGTAGAGAAGTTGACTCTTCTGTTCTCTCACAGAGCCGTAGAGAAGTTGACTCTTCTGTTCTCTCACAGAGCCGTAGAGAAGTTGACTCTTCTGTTCTCTCCCCTCACAGAGCCATAGAGACGTTGACTCTTCTGTTCTCTCCCCTCTCAGAGCCATAGAGAAGTTGACAGGTCACCAGTTTGAGGGCTACTCCATCAGGGTGTCGTACATCCTGGATATGGATGCAGCTCCGCCCCTACAGGCCCCACGGATGCGTCGGGGGGGTCGGTCGTCCAGGGACCAGGACGGGCCCCAGCCAGGGCCCTCTAGGGGCTTCGGAGGGCCCCGACACAAACAGCATGACTTCCCCCTCCGCATGCTGGTCCCCACACAGTTCGTAGGAGCCATCATCGGCAAGGAGGGTCTCACCATCAAGAACGTCACCAAACAGACACAGTCCAAGTATGTGGGCATCGTTGTAGCAGAATTATTCTATCTGCTTTATTGACACATTTGTTTTCCTTCTTTGTTGGTCAAAATCGAGTATGAAGTATGGGGTTAATTACATTTCAGTTAAGTCAATTCAGGAATTAAATTACTGAATTAACATGGCACTGACCCCAAACTTAAATATGATTACGTATGCAGTCTCAACCTTTCAGTGACCTTCTGTCTGTCTCTGTCTCTCTCCATCAGGGTGGACATCCATCGGAAGGAGAATGCGGGAGCAGCAGAGAAGCCCATCACCATCCACTCCACCCCTGAGGGCTGCTCCTCTGCCTGCCGTATGATCCTGGAAATCATGCAGAAAGAAGCCAGCGAGACCAAGGAGTGAGTCTACTATAGCCCCCCTGCTACACCATTACTACACCCCTACTACACCCTCACTACTACACCCTTACTACACCCCAACACCCTCACTACTACACCCAAAAAAACGGCACTACTAACCCCAACAACCCACTATACACCCAATCGACACCCCACTGACACCCTAACGAACCCCAACACACTCAACTACAACCCTAACCCATACTACCCCCACACCCTACTACTACACCAACACACCCCACTACTCACCACACAACACCCCACACCTCACTACACCCCACTACACCCCAACACCCCACTACTACACCCACAACCCCCACACCCTCACTACTACACACACTCCCAAACCCCAACACCACCCACACCCTATACTACACCCCAACACCACCTCCTACAACCCACTACTACACCCCCAACACCCTCACTACTACACCCATGACATCACAACCCCACTAACCCCTCACACTACACCCCCACACCTCACTACTACACCCAGACTACACCCCAACACCCTCACTACTACACCCCAACACCCTCACTACTACACCCAGAGTACAACCCAACACCCTCACTACTACACCCCAACACCCTCACTACTACACCCCTACTACACCCAACACCCTCACTACTACACCCCTACTACACCCCAAACCCTCACTACTCAACCATTTGGTAGGCCTACAGCACGTCATCAGAGCGCGACGTATGTTGAATGCTGAACGAGAGACCTCGGTTTATTGTTTTTGTAAAGCTGTGACAGTGTTTCCTTCCTTGTTTCCTCGTTTGATTGATATACTTTTTGCTTTTGGATCCCGCACGAGGTTAGCCTCAGTTGCTGTGACCGCACCTATCTGTCCCGGGATCCTGCCAGAACAAAAAGTCAGAAGTTGTTTGCCGAAGCTAGCTACTAGCCTAGCTGGTAGCTATCAGTATCAAACTAGCAAGATTTTCCAAGAACAGCTTGAACACAGCCCGCGACCCAGTTAGCGCTTTTGGCTGGGACCGCAGAGGTGTCCCACGCTAATTGTGGCTGTATTCCTTGCTGCTATTTTCCTGCAACCTGACCTGGCTGGAACTGCGTTGTTTAGCTACCAACGTTAGCCGATGCTGCTACCAACAGTACGATTGGAACTGTGTTGTATAGCTACCAACGTTAGCCGATGCTGCTACCAACAGTACGTTGGAACTGTGTTGTATAGCTACCAACGTTAGCCGATGCTGCTACCAACAGTACGTTGGAACTGTGTTGTTATAGCTACCAACGTTAGCCGATGCTGCTACCAACAGTACATTGGAACTGTGTTGTATAGCTACCAACGTTAGCCGATGCTGCTACCAACAGTACATTGGAACTGTGTTGTTTAGCTACCAACGTTAGCCGATGCTGCTACCAACAGTACGTTGGAACTGTGTTGTTTAGCTACCAACGTTAGCCGATGCTGCTACCAACAGTACGTTTGGAACTGTGTTGTTTAGCTACCAACGTTAGCCGATGCTGCTACCAACAGTACGTTGGAACTGTGTTGTTTAGCTACCAACGTTAGCCGATGCTGTGCTACCAACAGTACGTTGGAACTGTGTTGTATAGCTACCAACGTTAGCCGATGCTGCTACCAACAGTACGTTGGAACTGTGTTGTTTAGCTACCAACGTTAGCCGATGCTGCTACCAACAGTACGTTGGAACTGTGTTGTTTAGCTACCAACGTAGCCGATGCTGCTACCAACAGTACGTTGGAAACTGTGTTGTTTAGCTACCAACGTTAGCCGATGCTGCTACCAACAGTACGTTGGAACTGTGTTGTTTAGCTACCAACGTTAGCCGATGCTGCTACCAACAGTACGTTGGAACTGTGTTGTATAGCTACCAACGTTAGCCGATGCTGCTACCAACAGTACGTTGGAACTGTGTTGTTTAGCTACCAACGTTAGCCGATGCTGCTACCAACCAGTACGTTGGAACTGTGTTTGTATAGCTACCAACGTTAGCCGATGCTGCTACCAACAGTACGTTGGAACTGTGTTGTATAGCTACCAACGTTAGCCGATGCTGCTACCAACAGTACGTTGGAACTGTGTTGTTTAGCTACCAACGTTAGCCGATGCTGCTACCAACAGTACGTTGGAACTGTGTTGTATAGCTACCAACGTTAGCCGATGCTGCTACCAACAGTACGTTGGAACTGTGTTGTTTTAGCTACCAACGTTAGCCGATGCTGCTACCAACAGTACGTTGGAAACTGTGTTGTTTAGCTACCAACGTTAGCCGATGCTGCTACCAACAGTACGTTGGAACTGTGTTGTTTAGCTACCAACGTTAGCCGATGCTGCTACCAACAGTACGTTGGAACTGTGTTGTTTAGCTACCAACGTTAGCCGATGCTGCTACCAACAGTACGTTGGAACTGTGTTGTTTAGCTACCAACGTTAGCCGATGCTGCTACCAACAGTACATTGGAACTGTGTTGTTATAGCTACCAACGTTAGCCGATGCTGCTACCACAACAGTACGTTTGGAACTGTGTTGGTTTAGCTACCAACGTTAGCCGATGCTGCTACCAACAGTACGTTGGAACTGTGTTGTTTAGCTACCAACGTTAGCCGATGCTGCTACCAACAGTACGTTGGAACTGTGTTGTTTAGCTACCAACGTTAGCCGATGCTGCTACCAACAGTACGTTGGAACTGTGTTGTTTAGCTACCAACGTTAGCCGATGCTGCTACCAACAGTACCTGCAAAGACACTGCTTTCCTGCTCACCGCTGTGAGATGATTTGTGTGTCTGATCTCTTTCTGTTCACTTAGTTGAGAATTCATGTAAGGAGAGAGACACTGAAGCCCAGCTAGCCTAGCTAGCCAGCAGTCTCAAATGGAGGACGTGTTCAACCCTGCAGGAGCTGGGTTTATTTTGCTTTATTCCGGGACAATGTGGACCACCCAGACTTTCAATGTAGCAACTGTTTGCTTGCAGAGGACTACAGGGGCAAAGTGGCTATTCTCAGCAAATAAGTAGCGAACCTACACAAGCTACTGGGGCATCCACGCCCGCCTACCTTTTCTTTCTCTTCTACCCCAGTAGCCGGACGCTGCTCTGGCCTGGTGGAAGTGTCGCCGCCGTGTCGGTTCTCCACAGCCGACTGGCCGGTACTCTGCAGGGATCCCTCCCCGAAGGGGCCTCCCCTTCCCTGGAGAATGGAGCTATTAGGATGCTCCTGGATGACTTGGGGGATGTTCCTGTTCTCGACCCTACCAACCAGCCATGGAGATATGTCACTCGTGTTGAAGTAGAAAACAGCATCCTCTGGCAACGGAGGCCTCCTTGTTAAACCCGGACCGGACACAGACCAGATCAGTTTCGCCGCCCTGGATCCAGAGGTTCCGGCGCCTTCTTCCCTGGGGGCTTCAGTTTCAAGATCGGATCCGGAGGTACCTGCGTCTTTGTCCTCTGATCTGTCTCCCTCTACGCTGTACAGTGATCTACAAATCTGGAGATCAAACTCTTGGAGTCAGGGGACGAGGTTCATGGAAATATACAGTTCGTGGGCAGGTGTAATTGCCTCAACATGTGGTATATTTAAGCGAACTTAATTTCTTATCTGAAAATATTGAAAGAAGTTAGATGCGGGGAGATTGTACACTTCCCTCAACTGTGCGAATGTGGCAAAAGTATTATTGATGTAGAGGTCTGCAGTAGTAGGAATGCCCTTTCTCTTCCAGAATAGAAAAGTATTGTCAGTTAGTGAGGGGGGAAATGATGGTTATGGCAAATAGGATGACAGGACCGAACGTTTTCCTTATTTGATACCACATTTTTAATGCATTTTTTTGCATAAGGTTATTGCCAGTAATACGTGTGGGGGATTTAGTTGATGAAAAGAGAAGTGCTGGAAGAGAGGTGTTGTGTGTATCTTGTTCAATAGCGAGCCATGAAGGGGTGGAAGGATCTCCCACGCCAGGGTATTCACCCTGCCAATCAACCAGTTCTCTAGCGTCTAGCTGACCAATAATAATGCTGGGAAATGCAGCAGGCTCAGCCTACCTAATTCTTTGGCTTGATTCTATGTTTTTTTTTAGATACGGTGTCCCCACTTTGTATCCCCACACAAAAGGCAAGATAATAGAATCCAAGAATTAAAAAAAAGCTTTAGTTAAAAATATAGGCAGATTCTGAAAGAGATAAAGGAATCTGGGGGAGTGTAACCATTTTAATAGCGTTAACATGGCCTATCATAGATAGAGGCAACACTCTCCAGATCTCAATGTTGCGCTTCAGCTTCTCTATCATGTCGAGGTAGTTCAATTTATAAATCAATTTAGGGTATTTGGGGATGACAACACCTAAATATTTAATTTAGTCTCTTGTGATTTTAAAAGGTATATGTTTAAGGAACTCTGGGTTTAAGTCACCATTAAGAGGCATGAATTCACTTTTATCCCAGTTTATGGTGTAGCCAGAGAGTTCTCCAAGTGATTCGATGAGCTCCAACAGCTCCAACAGTGGTGGAAGTGACTCTTCAGGGCGTGAAACTAACAAGATGTTGTCATCCGCATAGAGCGAGATGCGGTGATCAACCTTGCCCATGTTTAGCAGAGCAATGGTAGGATGGCTTCTGATACTAATAGCTAGGGGTTCCATAGCAATGGTAGGATGGCTTCTGATACTAATAGCTAGGGGTTCCATAGTAATGGTAGGATGGCTTCTGATACTAATAGCTAGGGGTTCCAATAGTATGGTAGTATGGCTTCTGATACTAATAGCTAGGGGGTTCCATAGTAATGGTAGGATGGCTTCTGATAACTAATATCCTAGGGGTTCCATATAGTAACGAGTAGGATGGCTTCTGATACTAAAAGCTATAAGGGGTTCCATTAGTAATGGTAAGGATGGCTTCTGATACTAATAGTCTGAGGGGTGTCCAGTAGTAATGGGTAAGGAATGGCTTCTGATACTAATAAGCTAGGGGGTTCCCATAATCATAAGCGGTAGGGAATGGCTTCTGATAGC